GGCCAATATACAGAGTAATTTGGTTCTTAGAGCAATGAGGTCAACTGAGATTTCTGTCATATATACAATTTACATTGGATTTTAAGTGGTCCAGGAAACCCTTTATCAACCCTGAAGGGCTATAGCTTATACTATTGCCCTTTCAGTAGCCAGAAGGATAAGCTATAGCTTGTATTATTGCCCTGTACACATCATAAGATGTAGAATATAGCTTCTAAAAATAAATAGGTGGGGCTATAGCTTATACACTGTAAATTACTTTATTTTCGCTTGGAATAAATATTCGCTTTTTTCGCTGACAGGATAAATCAGTGAAAAGTAAAATCCAGCGAATATACATTTTTTTCCTATATTTTACACTTAAATAATCAAGAATCAGTGAACATAAATTCCATACAAAACACCCAAAAAGTATTTTCAGCGAAAATTAATTCTAGCTAAAATCAAGTATTTTACAGTATAGCATAGCAAACTCTTTATCCAACTAAAGGTGTGGGATATAGCTTATACTTTTGTACAAAATAACTCAAAGTCAAACGTATGTTTATGTATAAAATAAACATTTAAATCAACATCGTGTACTGACCTTCATTGACTTAAAGGTATGAAGAAAAATAAATGAAATTAAATTAACATACTGCATTCAATTCTGTCAAATATTAGTTAATCTTTTTAATAAATAATATCATGACATAATGGTTCATGCATTCCTGTAAAAATTAAACGGTGCTGGCAAAAATCATAACCAGCAAAAAACACGAATGCTGTTCTAGAATGATTTCATCTGCTCCATTCCAATTCTATATTGATATGAGGTATCATTTGAAAAAAAAACAAGGTTTTTACAACACTTACTTGTGAAGCACCTGTTTTTCTTTGCATCCAATACCAAAGTCATATTGCCGATACTACATTCTGAAAACTCATTGTTGTTGACGTGAAGGCCATCTGAAGATTTGGAATACATGATGTAGTTGCCGGCCACACCCCCTGGTCTACATTCTGATGGGTAGTCATGCTATGGTGCAAATATTAAAAAAATAAATTACTTGTCATCCCTAATATACATGTATGTGCACTTCATGAAATGTAAACTTCCATAAAAAGCGCATGCCCTAAAATTCCTATAACTTTCGCATTTTCTTAATTTTTTTTTTTTTTTTTCAAAATTCCACGCAGTTTTTAATTTCTGCATGGCTGGTACTAAATCTTAAGTGATATCACGGAAGATTTTCCTGTGGCACACTTGTTTACACCGAACATCATTTTATGGTTTTACTCAAGGTTAAAGGTTAAGATTGAAATAATTTATATAAAAATGAACAGATCTGATTCTGTACATCAAACTCAGTTTAAAAACAGTTTTTACAGTTTTAAACTATTACAAAATTATCGTGAAGTGTTATTGCAATGTCTTATGACAACAAAGCCATCAAGCTACCCACACAAAGTAAACATTAAAGCGCACGTGCGAGAATTGAGTCCCAAGCGACGATAACAACACACGCTAAAAATGCAAAGGCTCATGGGTAGATGCTTGTTTGTAAGCAATGAAATGCTATGGTCATCTGATGCATGCGCAGGTGACGACTCCCCGCTTTAAGCAAACCCCTTAAAATTATATTGATACTCACCGGTGATCCAAAACTGTGTCCAAGTTCATGTGCAAAGGTGAGGTGAAATAAGAGTGGAGGAACTGGAAAACCATAGTTTACCGTGGTAACAACACCTGTATTCAAGCTTCTCCATCCTTGGTTTATATATTCTCTGTATTGGTCACAAATACCACCACCTTGTAAATCTACAAAGTAAACAGTTACATACTACTGTCAAATAATTTATTTTCGCTTGAAATTAATTTTCGCTGAAGAAATTGATTCAGTGAAAATAAATTTCAGCGAATATACCTTTTTTCCTATATTTTACATTCAACTGATCAAAAATCAGTGAAAATAAATTCCATACAAAACACCCAAACCGTCTTTTTAGCGAAAATTAATTCCAGCTAAAATGAATTATTTTACAGTATTCTGAAAACACTGCAGTAGTCATTTTGATATTGCAATAATATTTTGTGCATCATGTACTCATTACTAAATGACACATGTGAATAAAACCGAAAACTGTAAAATTTTGTGAAATTATTTTTTGTCCTTGACTATTATTTTGAATTATGAATCTTATCTGATGATTTTTTTTATATTTTCATTTGGCTCCAAACTTTTTTTTTCACTTTTTTTTACTAGTTAGCCATCCTTAAGGCAGTTTGCTACTGATAAAAAAATACTGAGAAATCCTCGAAATCTAGCAGGAGGGGTTGGGTGTGCAAAACTACTTCGAAAATTGATAAAAAATGCGAGTTTTTGGTAGTCAACAATTGGTTTCTATGGCAGAAACATTCCATCATATCTCAAAATTTAGTTCGGTGACTATGCTAAAAAATGATATGTGGTGTTATGAGGGCTACATATGGCTGTCATGAAATATTTTCCAAGGAAAAATGCGTTTTACATGGATTCCTACGGAAAATGTTACAAATCACCACTTTTGGATTAGTTTGCATACGTTTTCATGAAAAATACCTTCTTACTCCATAAACTTACACAACAATTTTTAAATGATTTTATGGGAACAAATCATCGTAAATTTCATAAAAAAATGTGAAATTATGCCACAGTGAAAGTTAAAGTGACATTTGTGAAAATTCATCAAATTACAAACATTTGCAGCAAAAATTAAAAGGATTACCCCAACTGAACTGTAGAGGGCAGTATACCTGATGCGTAGCCAATCCAAGCAAGTCCCAAGATGCCGTTGGTGAAATCTCTGGCACAGAATGCATAAGACAGACAATATTCATCAAAATTGTCAGAAGAAGCCAAGTCCAGGTACTTCTCAACGCCGATGTATTCATTTGCAAAATTATACTGAGGTAAAGCGATATCACTTGTAGTATAAACCTGTTTTGAGAAACAAAACATTCATCATAAAGCAATGCACATGCAAACAGACGATATTATGGGAAATCCATTCAGTGAACTTTTAAGATAAATGTTGTCAACATATGCGTCCATTTCATTACATGTAACTTTGCTGATGTTATGTATAAACTGTACTCTTATTTCTATTCATATATTTTCAGCACCAGCATTCTTACACATCTGATAATTTAAAATCCTGAAAAAGTTATTAATTTGTAGACAATTTTAAGTAAAATTTAACCAGAATCTATATGTAAATGCACATAAAAATTAAACTTGGTCT